TTTTGGTGAGATATTAAGTTGGAAAGATGAGCTATGGGCTAGATCTGAGGTTGTAACTTCAGATCTGGACCCTCCTTGGATTCTATAAGCATAAAGTTTCAGTTTTGGTCATGATTAAGGTCCCTCTTGAGCATGAAGTTCCATTAAGAACTTAAAATAGGCATTTAGAGCCTTTATAGCCATGCATGCACGTAAATTTTACAACTTTACATGATAAGAATGCCCTAGAAGCTTGGATCTGTGATTTGGAGCCGCTGCATGGCTCAAAACAAGTCTGTATCGAAAAAGGACTGAATGGACTCGGCGAGTCGCAAGGTTGACTCGGCGAGTCACATGAAGATGGCCGTAGACTCGACGAGTTGGATGAACAACTCGGCGAGTCCGATGAAGATTACCATAAGACTCGGCGAGTTGAAGAACAACTCGGCGAGTCGGATGAGTTTTCCCTAGGATATGTATGCGTGTGTATCCGTCGAGTTGCAAGGAGGGAACTCGACGGGTGGCCTTAAAGTTTGAACGAGAATCAAAAAGCAACTCGACGAGTCACCCTGATGACTAGGCGAGTTGGATTGTGCTTCAAGGAACTCGGCGAGTAGCCGAGGGTACTCGGCGAGTTGGGGTCAACATGGACTGTTGACCTTGACTGAGGACTTTGACTTTGACCAGGGGTTGACTGGTGGGTTATGGAGTACCTTATAAGGTTAAGGACTTATGAGTATATTGTACTATGATCATAGGTGGTGGAGCCTGTGTCAAGTGATCCGAGAGTTGGGGTTTATCTTCCGAGTCGACATTTGCAAGGTGAGTTATCCTCACTATATCGATAGGGTCTACGGCACCAAGGCCAGCCCTTTAGTTGTTATTGCTATGGTATGCTACATGTGGTTATGATCTGCTAGATCGGAATCAAGGTAAACAGTATGTTATGCTCTTATGATCCGTAAGGATTGGTATGTTAGTGACCTGCTAGGTCGGTACTCTAGTTACGAGAGGATTCTATGATTGATGATCAGTATGATAGATATGTTTGATGTTTGTATATGCCAGTATATGATAGTTATGCGCACATGGTTATTTGCTTGTTGGTTGGGTTGAGGCGGTCCTGCTTTGTGCTGAAGGCCAACATACCCTATGAGCGGTCTGGGGAGATTGCAGGCCCACGAGGCGGACCAGTAAAATGCCGAAGGCTCGGGATAGATTCAGATAGACTGTAGGCCCAGTAGGGCGGTCCAGTCAGGCCGATGGCCAGTATGCATGTTGATTGATTGATTGTTACTGATATAGCATTGTCAGTGTGGTATTGGTAGTTTGGGGATAGCTCACTAAGCCCTCAGGCTTACAGTTTTCAGTTTATGGTTTCAGGTACTTCAGGAGATCATGGCAAGGCGAAGGCGTGACCGTACCGCTCCTCATCCTTATGTTATATTTTTGGGACACTCTGATGGATATTGATTTGGAAACATTTTTTTTTGTAAACGATACTATTTGACTTCTATTTATGATTTTAAAAGTTTAAATTTGGCGTAAAATTTATGGATGTTACACACCAGCTGGCGCTCGCAATCTATCATGGCCCCATTGGGCCCCAACCAATCCATACGATGATCACCTTCAATCCTCACAAAGAAATCAGAACCAGATCAAGAAGAAACCTCTCCCCGAACATATTCAACACACACCTCCGAAATACCCTCACATCGCTCATGGTACGATCATCCGTAATCTCCACCTCAAGTGGGGGATCAAAAGTCCCTGGAGCATTTCGAAACTTCTTGCTGAGCGTAAGAGATACAAATGACCGGGTAGCCCCCGAATCAAAGAGAATATGATCGACAAACCATTGACCAAAAAGGTCCCTATACAAGATCATAACCATATAAGCATAAACAATAAAATAAATAAAGCATAAATAGATCACATACCGGTCACGACATTTGGCGCTGCTCGGGCCTCCTCTATAGTCAACTGAAATGTGCGGCTCTTCATCGCAAGAGCTTCCACCTTGATCGGGCGACCATCAGTACTCCTCATTGTGGCAAGCGCAAGCGCCGCCACCGCTCCTCCTCCTCTAACCAACCTCGGACAATCGGCCTTTTTATGACCGGTTTGGTTGTAGTGGAAACAAATCAAGCCCTTATTGGGGAAATCCTGGCTCATGTGGCTCGGCTGGCCACATGCATAACATGCCGAGCCTGCTGCTCGACAAGCTCCACTGTGCGGCTTACCGCACTTGGCACATTGGCCACGACCCTGTTGGCCCCTGCTGGGAGGGTCGGAGCTCTTAGGCTTCTTGGCCTGACCCACTGCTGCCTGAACCTGCCCGAACCCCACCTTTGCCGCCTCGGGGCAAAAGATCGTGCGTTGGGCATTCTCCATGTCTGCCACCCAGCGTCGACTAGTGATGGGATCCCTGACCCCAAAGAACTCAGGCGCTCCACAAGCCTTAAACTCCCTGAACGAGGGAGCTCGGGCCCCAATCTGGCCTGCAAAAATCTCGGCTCGGAAAGACCTGCGCCGCTCCTCCATGATCTCCATGATGCCCTCCTTGACGGTACCAAAGATCACCGGGGTAGCATCAAGTATGCCACAAGTAACCTCGGCTACGATAAGATCACGCAACCTCTCATCAATGGGCTCTGCACCAGAGCTAGAACCTGATCCTAAACCTTGCATGATCATCACCATCCTCAACTGAAAAAAATACCACATGACAAAAATGATAAGGAATTCAAAAGGGATTCCACCTCACTGGAGTCCTTAGAGCTTGCAGGTTTGACCTTGTTTCAGGTACATGTGTTGTGCTCTCAGTAGTACGGGCCCAATACTACTTTCTACACCTACCTGTACCTTCCCCAAGGTCATACCTGATACCCTTAATTCACCCGACCACACATCATGACCCCCAAAACACAACACCAACTCAGATCCTAGACTATCCTAGGATGTCCCAATTCCTACTGAACCTGAAACTTAAACCAATCAAAGAAGGTTGCCCTATGCATGCAATTTATACACAAACAGAATCACATAGACTGTCAATAAGCTTCTACCCTAAACAACAACCAAACAAGGAACAAGAATAAGGCAAAATTCATCATTTTAGGGCTATGCAATCCTAGACATATAAAACTTTGAAAGTATACACATGGCAAGTAATCAATACAATCATCAATTTCCAAATATAACTATAGCATGGCTAGTACATTGGGATCACTTACTTGAGCTTGACCGATTACGCGCATTGCACTCTCCCCTTTTTACTTATAAAAAATTGTTTTCGAGAAAATTTGTAACTTTTGGTTTCTTTTTGTAAAAGGGTTTACCATTTCCTCAGTTTGACTTCTGACACACCCAAGAGTGTACCCAAATCCCTCAAACCAAGGCTCTGATACCAACTTGCAACAACCCAAAATTTATAGGAAATTTTGGGTTGTTAACGATTACAGACTGTACTCGAACGACTAGAGATTTCTGTCAAATAAAATGTAAGTCTCGACTTCCAAGACAGAGACTGTGTAACTTTAAAATCATTCCCTTTTAGGAAAGTGATTCGGCTTAGAAAACAAGTCAAGTTAAACCTGCAACTCAAAGGAGCTTCGAAATTCTTAACAGAATTAGGTCTTGTTATTTATATGAATTTATCTAGAGAACTAAACCTCATGCATGACGCATTTCGTGCGCCAAACCTCAAGAAGTGTATGTCCGACGACACACTTACTATCTCTTTCTCAACGAAGTGTACTAAGAAATTGTGCTAATGTTCCATATTTGTGAAAGTACACACGATAGAATTATACGTAAGATTAGATAACCTTAAACTATTTGATTCGATCTAATTCCCTATTCCATGTTTAGTTGTGATTTGTGGTAAAGTTATATATTGGATCGATTATCTAACCTAGATCTATGCGACTTAAATCGACTATAGAAAGATCATGTGTGGATCAAGTGAAACAAAAACACCACCAATTGTTTTATAATATTTTATCTACACGTTGAATTTCAGGATGAAATTCCTTTCAACGGGGGGATGATGTAACAATTGGTAAAAATTGGTCAGAGTTCGACGGTCAAACCATCGTGAACCATTATGTATTAATGACCAATTGTGTGTAATTTTATGTTTATAATGTATATTAAAGATATTATATTAATAATTGCTTTTAGAACATCTCAAACCGTCTATCGTTGAAGATTGAATAAAAAATCACCAAAAATTAAATCTATTTGAAATGATAAAAATAATTTTTGCATTAAGAATATCTGAGAGTTATGGATAAGAAACTTGAATAGATTACGTTCTCCTGATTTTGTGGATATAAAGAACATCCAAAACGGAGATCGTATGAAGAAGTTACGCATCTTTAAAGTTATAAAAACCAGTATTGATATGATTTTCCTGAAACAAACCGTGCACTGCTTCGTTTGGGATAGCTACGAATCTAGTAAACTGTTTTTGAACACTTTTTTTTACTCAAACTATGTTCTATTATTTTATTTCATTTTTATGATATTTTTAATCTCGATCAAAGTCAGGTTCATAAAATATGTCGAATGAGATCCAATTAATCATGAAACTTTAAACATTTCCTCCCAGAGTTTGGTATATCGAAATTGAAATCCATCTGCATTTATGGAATTATCACCACCGAGAAAATAAGGAGGCACTTTCAAAAAAAATTCATGAAACGATACGAAGACAAAAGAATTTAGAAAAAGTATGAAATCACCAAAAGTACATAACACATATATACAATAATCTTTAAATCCCCAAAAAATCTACAAAATATGATTTTTGGGGTACAATGAGATGTATCTAAGATTTTTTTGACAAGAATTGAAAGGGTTTCTCTCTAATTCCCACACATACTCTTTGTTGAAGAAGCAACCACCGGTGGTGGCTTTTCCGGTGAGCCAAGAGGTTGCCGCCTCGGTCCCAACCCTCATCCTCTTCCCATTCTGCTCATCGATCTCAGCCAAACACCCCAGCGATTTCCGAGATGCACTACCTAAAATTCCCCGCCGAGTATCAAACAAACAAACACACCCTTGGATGGCTAATTCCGGCGAGATCAAGAGGAATAACGACCCCCTCGATGACTTCTACCGACGTTCACCATCTCCACAACTCTCTTCCAGTTGAAGAATCACAGCCCCAAATACCCCACACCGATCGTTATTGCTGCTGCTTTGATTCCCTTCTGAATTGTTGCTACCAACAACAAGAAGAAAACCACGAAGAGGCTTGCCGGAAAGCGACCTCGCCATCTCCTTCAGTCTTTCTTCGTAGCTCCTCCCCTTGGCTTCGTCGAGCACCACCACAGAACCACCATTCCTTCCTCTTTTTTGTGTTTGCCACTGATCGAAGCAGAAGACGAAGAAGACGACAGCGACACCCATCTGCTGGCGCCCCTATATGTGATTTACTCGACCACCGCCACAAACCCCACCTTGATTTCTGCTTCCGTTCATCTTCATCGACCTGATTCTCGTTCCCTTCATGAGCAGATGACGACCAGGGACCCTTTACCCTTTTTGTTCGAACTACTTATCCAAATCAGACCCTCATGTTTGTCAAATGTCCAAAAACAACCCCTCAGTTTTATTAACTAATCAACACCGGTCCCCATTTGTATTATTTAATCTAAACAACCCCAATATTTGTATCAACTTACAAAATCAACCATCCTTCATATTTCAAGATTTAAAATGATACCTTTTGATTTAAATAATTTCAAAAATAATCCCTTTAGTTTAATTTGTTACAAATATAGTCCCAAGCTTTGTTTTAGCTCAAAAAGTGTTGATTTTGGTTTCTCACGTGAAGCTTCACCAAAACCGAGCCTAGATCGAGATCACACATCAAATGTAAGTTTCTACGGCTCCACTTTTACGGTTTTAATATTTGGGGGAGAATATATGTGTGTCTATTAAAATTTTGATGATTTCAAGTATACAAGATAGCATCATACTTTATTATTGGTCAAAAGTTTATGAAATAGCAATCTAAAAATATGATAAATCATCAATAAATCTATTAATTAAGTTAAAGTAGATTGTTAAAAGATGATATATTATTACTCTACGTGAAATACAAATATAATTATTAAGATAAATCACAAGATTATAAGTAAATTGATATAATAATACAATTGATATTATAAGTCACAAAAATGAAAATGACCAAAAATATTACTCGCGTGTAAAATGAAAGTACATTGTCATATTTGTAGAAAAGTCAAATTTATGAAATTGTATAATTAATAGTAAAAATTATCGAAATTTAACTTTTAATATATAATACAAGTTATGTAGAAATGAATGCAATTTTTTTTAATATATCTTATATTAATTATAAAAATATAACTCATTTTATTAAGTTATGGATTTTTATTACAATAACTAACATGATCGACTTCAGGACTTAAGAGTCGTAATTTGCAAAATATTATGTTATATTAATCATGTGAATTATAAATATCATGAAAATTATTGGTTTCACGTTGGTTGAAACATGGAAAATGTTATAAAAGCAGCCGTTATGCTGCCAAGATTTCGTCATAACAGACAATAGAAATTTAAAAATCCATTAAGTCTTGCATATCTCAAATACTAAAAGATTTCAATCAAATATCATTCCTAAACAACAAAATCATAAATATTCAACAACGGGAAGTTTATGACTAGGATGACTAGACACATTGTTAGGATCCAACACTCTCGGGGTCTCCCTGTAGGTGTCACATTGTTTCTAAAGCCATATGAGTTAGGTTCATTTCCTAAGCCATTTGAGCTATGTTGTTGGGTATACTAAGACTGTGTGTCTTGGTTTTCATAACCGTTAATCCGAAAATAACGACTAATGACAAGTATAAGTGTCATACTATTGATCTTATTGATAGATTTTATACAAACAATCCTATGTGTGCATGCAACCCTAATTGGATCTATGTTTTCACTATAAGACATACAACTATATGAACACAAAATAAAACCCTAGCATGCATCTACAATTTTCGAAAATATCATATGGAAGTGTAGAAGACATACCTTTGTTGTTATATTGCAATAACAACTAGTTTCCTTGAACTCTTGAACTCTTGAAAGCAAGCACCACAATTATAGTGCCTCTAATTGCTTACAAACACCTTGAAGCAAGAAGGCAATTAAGAGAGAGAGGGAGGATACTAATTTTCGGCCCTAGGGTTTCTCTTGGAATCAAGTGGCCGAGAATTGAAGCATAGGGCATCTATTTATACTGTAGGGTGCTAGGGTTTCAGTCTAAACCCTAATGGATAGCTTAGCCACCAAGCAGCCCAAGGAACCTTCTGGAATGAGGCCCTTGGACGAAAATATGATGATCCCTCATCATAATTTCGTTCCTCCTTATTCCATTGGGTTTCCCAGCCCAAAACTCAACTATCACACATTTGACAGTTTATATCCCTTTATTTAATTAATCTCTTTTAGTCACCAAATTAATTCCCAATTAATTTATGACTAATACTAATTAAATAAATATGATTTCTCCTTTAATATATCATTCTTATAATATATTAATAAACCATAATATCTTCTCTCTCATATCAAATTACCTTGTCAAGTTGCTTTGGTGAAGGCAACCCAAAAGGACCATGCACACTCAGATCAAGTACATACCAAATATAGTTACGGACTTAGACACTAATCCAACAGTCTCCCACTTGGATAAGTCTAGTAACTATATCTCACATATGACTTCCGTATCCGATTAGCAATCGTAGCTTTCAATAGCCGTTGTCAACTCTGACCAATAGTATGTCCTTCAGATAAGGGATCGTATAATCCTCTGTTCTAGATATCATGCTAACAATACTTATTGTCCAGCATTTTGTTTCTCGATCTCTGATTTGTTCGACATAGAACTCAGTTGAACACATCAACTTCATCCTGACCGGGCCCGGCACATAAGTCAAACCAAATCATCAAGTGGCCAAGATATCGCTTTTATTCTCATAGAATAAAAGGAACAGAAAACGTCGACTTATATGCTTTTATCATTTACTAGCTAAGCCACACACAATAATGCATTTTATAACATCAAGTTACTGATGCGTTTTTGCATTATCAATGTATAATCAACTAGCAAACAATAACCATATCTCTAGGTTTAAAGATTATATGATATTATCATCTTGCGATCACTTGTGATAACATTCATGAAGCGATGCCAGCAAGTGCGGGTCTATTCCAATGCTCAATACAAATTTCATAAGCACTCATAAACTTTGCAGCAAACTTTTGCTATGTCTAAAACTTTTCAGACAATCTACAAACAAATTTATGACAATCTTCCTTCATATCTACTTCCAACATATGAGCGATTGTGGACTGTTCGAATAATCTTATTATTCAGGAAGTCAAAACATGCAAAATTGAAACAATAGATAAATAATCAACACAAGATAGAAACTTTCTTATAAATAACACACCTTTATTTAATCATCAAATGTTGAATATAAGATCATCCATTACAAGTTTCCTACCTATATAATCTAAACTAATATCGTCCTTTAGCCCTATGCTCCTAGCGTGCTGAAAATGCTTAACCCTACTCAGTCCCTTCGTAAGGGGATCTGCTGGGTTATCTTCCCACGATACCCTCTTCACAACGAGGAGTCCCTCTTCTACCCGATGTCTAATAAAATGGTATTTCCTGTCGATATGTCGAGATCTGCCATGATCCCTTGGTTCCTTGGTTAAGGCAACCGCTCCTTCATTATCACAGAAAATTTCCATGGGCTCCTTTATGGATGGCACAACTCCAAGGTCTCCAATGAAGTTCTTCAACCATATAGCCTCCTTTGATGCCTCGGTCGCCGCAATGTACTCTGATTCGCACGTTGAATCAGCTACAGTTTCTTGCTTGGAACTTTTCCAAGTCACTGCTCCTCCATTCAGGGTAAAGACCCAGCCCGACTGTGATCGGTAATTATCCCGATCTGTCTGGAAACTAGCGTCACTGTACCCTCGCACCCTTAAGTCATCACTCCCACCGAGGACTAGAAACCATTCCTTGGTCCTTCGTAGGTACTTAAGAATATTCTTGACAGCAATCCAATGTGCCCTACCAGGGTTCCCTTGATATCTGCTGACCATGCTCAAAGCGAAAGCCACATCAGGGCGAGTACAAGTCATAGCGTACATAATTGAGCCAACTGCGGAAGCGTAAGGTACTCGGCTCATATCAGCTATCTCTGCCTCTGTACTCGGGCTCTGAGTCTTACTCAGTTTGGTATTGCATTGGATTGGTCCCCTTTCTTGGAATTTTCCATACTAAAACGTTTTAGTACCTTTTCCAAGTATGTATCCTGACTGAGTCCTATCAGTCTCTTGCTTCTGTCTCTCACTATCCTTATTCCCAGAATATATGCAGCCTCTCCGAGGTCCTTCATAGCGAAACACTTCCCAAGCCAGGACTTGACCTCCTGCAATGTTGGGATGTCGTTTCCTATGAGTAGTATGTCATCGACATACAATACGAGGAAGCTCACTATACTCCCACTGGCCTTGACATATACACATGACTCATCTTCATTTCGCAGAAAACCAAACTCTTTGACCTTCTCGTCAAAACAAAGATTCCATCTGCGAGATGCTTGCTTTAATCCATAAATGGATTTCTCAAGCTTGCACACTCTATTTGGATGCTTCGCATTGACAAAACCCTCTGGCTGATTCATGTAAACATCCTCAGCCAGCTTCCCATTTAGGAAAGCGGTTTTTACGTCCATCTGCCAGATTTCATAATCATGAAACGCAGCTATTGCAAGCATTACCCTAATAGACTTTATTTTCGCAACTGGTGAGAAGGTCTCATCATAGTCAACTCCAGGAGTTTGAGTAAAGCCCTTCGCGACCAATCGCGCTTTATAAGTGTGCACTTTCCCATCCATGTCTGTCTTCTTCTTGAAGATCCACTTGCACCCGACTGTCTTACGACCTGGTACATTATCAACCAAATTCCAAACTTGGTTGTCATACATGGACTGAATCTCGCTGTCCATTGCCTCTTTCCATTTAGCAGACTCTGGGCCTGCCATGGCTTCCTTGTAGCTGTTAGGTTCGTCCAGATTCACTAGTGTACTATCACTAATAAACGTATCCCCGTCAGTAGTAATATGGAAACCATAAAACTGGGGTGGAACAATAACTCTACTTGAACGTCTAAGAGGTAAGGACTGGTCAATTGGTTCAACAGGAGTTTCCTCCTCATCTTGAACGCCAGTGTCAGAGGTTCCTTCTTCTCCTGACTCTTGAAGCTCTTCAAGGTCAATCTGACTCCCACTGTCTCCTTGGCTTATGAGTTCTCTTTCTCTGAAAACCCCTCTCCTAGCAACAAAGACAACATTGTCATTTGGTCTATAGAAGAGATAACCAAAAGACTTTGTGGATAGCCAATGAAGTAACACTTCTCACTACGAGGTTCTAGCTTGTCGTGAGTCTC